TGTGTGTGTGTGTGTGTGTGTGTGTGTGTGTGTGTGTGTGTGTGTGTAGAGACCGTGTGTCGTGTGTGTGGCAGACTGTACGAGACCATCTCTGCCATCTTTGTGTCCACCCCAACGAGAGCTGCTTCCTGGTGGAGAGGGCTGTGGTGGGACTCCTTCGGCTCGCAATCCGCCTGCTACGACGAGAAGACATCAGCTCTCAGGTACACTAAACACACACACACACACCTGGACTCAAACACTGCAGCAGAGTTGGTGTGATGTTACTGGATGAGATAATCATCTCAGGTCAGCAGACTGTCACAGTGGTCAGACTGAAAGGTCAGCTTACATCCGAACAGCAGGTTGTGTTTTTCTGCAGACGGGTCTTGTTGATCTCCTTTACCAACACTCTGACTTTGTGATTGATTGTCTGCTTCAAGCCTATCTTTTAAGTCTAAATCAGGCAGTCTCTGCAGCCTGAGGACACCAACTCTGGTCTGGCTTTGATTCACAGCTGATTCAGTGGGTTTTTATCTCTTTTCTTATTATTTCCCAAACACACTCGTGTCAAAATGCTGCTGAATACACTGCTTCCATTTCAATGCTCAGACGTCTTGAGTAAGCATGTACGTTGATTGCTGCCCACCTCCTGCTCTGCTATTGGTCAGGAGAACTGCTCTGACAATGACCTTCTGTCAACAAAGTGGAGCATGATGTTCAATAAGCTAGCCAATGAGTGAGTCTTAGGACAGAGCAGTTCTGAGTAAAGCCAAGTTCACCCAACACCACTTTGAAAGTGAACTGTTCTCACTGTGAAACTTACTCTCTTGTAATCTCTTGAGGTCATTGTGGTTTTCACACTATTCAATTCAATTTGATTTATACAGCCCAACATCACACATCTGTGGTATTAGGCTATAGCGTAGTTGGGTTTGTTGATGTCGTGGTTGGTGCGCACATGTTCACAAAGTAGCCTGTTTCCACAGGTCTTTACTATTTTCCCTATGTAGATAAGTAATGACTCATGTTATGTTTATTCATGCAAACATCCAGCACTAGGTGCAACAGTAACTTTGGTCTTTGTTGCAAATGCAACACATAGCACAACGGGGTACAGGTGACCCTTCCTCCAGGACTCCCCTCCATCCGTGTCTCACGCTCTCATTGGCTGTAGCTGACAGACTCCCCAACAGGTCCAGATACTGATTCTGCTACATATCTAGAATGTGCCATCGATGCATCGACGAGACTCTCGGCTCACGTCTGTGAACAGTTGCCACGTAGCGCTCGAGCACAATGTGCAACCACAGATTCTCTGATTGGCGAGCGGGAAATCAAGGCTACAGTCGTGTAGTGTGAACTAGGCATAATGGAAGACTGGGACTGTGCAGCCCAATGTGCACAAACTAAACCAAGCGTGCATCACCTGAGCTGGAAAATATTTTTGAAAGATGTTCTCAGCGTTCACATGGACAGTAGAGGAGTTAGTCATGCTGCTGCCCTCTGTGAAGTACAAGCAACAGTACAACCTTGATAAAGCCATTGTTCAGGTCTGCATGGCTGTTTGATCAATCAGACACACTGTTGCACATGTTCCTTCCCTACCCCAAATACACACACATGTGGTGGAAAATAAACTGTTAAACCTCCCGCTGAGAAATAACCGAGATGAGAAAACTCTTAAATATAAAAACATATTTACTGAACAGACACTAATAATAATTCAGCTGAATGGATAGAGCTCTTTCCCCACAGACGGTTCGGAGGTCTAACAACAATGAATCGTTGAAACGGAGTATATATGCACATTATCTCGTCTCTCCCCCCCCCTCGCAGATGTCCTCCTTCTCTGTCTGCCAGGTTCCCAGCCTTGGTATTGTATTTTCGTGGGAAGAGGGTTAAGTGGTGAGATCAGGATGACGTCATAGCAAGCCATACATGATATGCCTGAGATATGATAACATTCATTATTTTGGTTGAAATTAGTCTAGTTGCCGTCGTCTGCATATATGCAGGTTTAAGCGATACTAGTTATAACTAAAAGAATGATATGATAAATTTCAACACACACACACACACACACACACACACACACACACACACACACACTCTGTAGTTTAAAGTCAATCCCACACATCGTCCTGCTCCCACAAATACTCACTGGAGCACCACGGGGAGAAGGACTGAGACACTGCTGGTGTTGGTCTGTTGATGGGATTTGTTGACAGTAAGTCAAATATGCAATACAGCAGCAGCAAGCCTTTTCTTCTAACAGGATTACATCAATGACACAACAACCGTAAAAGAGAGACAGTCAGACTTTTCAGGCGGGGTTGTCACCAGGGTCATTAAGCTAATGTTGCATTCAGTCATTCAGTCAGGGGGTCACTGACAATACGGGTCAGTCATGTTGCCATGATCACATTGATGACCTACAGTATGATATAGTGAGGCTTTCATACTCATTTTACTGGACTGCACCAGATAATCCAGGTGTTGATGTTTAGTATCCACCTTAGTGTTCCAAATAGAACGCTGTCTCAGCACCGATATCATGGAAACTCTTCCATTGGGTCCAAACAAAGACTGAGAGATGTGTGCTGATAAGCAGGTAATCTAGAGCTGACCTGACCTTGTATTAGGAGGGTGACCTACATTTAAACCCATCATCTAATACTCGGAAATCAGCTTTGCATCTCAACACTGTGTTTGTGTTTTGTTGTTTGAAATCTTATTCCTATATAAAAGTCAAATTCACAGAATGCTACCGTTTCCATTTAGTCACATGGTATTTCATTTACATTTTCACTTAGGAGAGTGTTTGTAATAAAGGAAAAACAAGAAAGAAGTAGAAAGAATGAAAATGTTTGAATTTGATATTTGACCAGATTCTCTTCCAGCCCTGATCTTCTCTCTCCATGTTCACACCCACAGGTTCTCCTTTCCCTGCGTCTCCTGCTGATGATGAAACCTCCCGTGTTGTCCCGGGTCAGTAGGCAGGTGGCCTTTGGCCTCCATGAGCTGCTGAAGACTAATGCAGCCAACATCCACAGCACAAATGACTGGTTCACGCTTTTCTCCTTGCTGGAGTGCATCGGAGCCGGAGTGAAACCGCCCGCCTCCTTCCAGCTCGCTTCCACCCCTACTGACAACGACACAGGTGCAATATTTCTCTCCACATCATCAGGTTGACCTCATTTGATTTTGGTGACCACTGAAGACTGTCGTCCTTGTCCATGTCGATGAGTCCTTGGGCGAGACTCTTAACCCGTAGGCTGAGCCTGCGGTGTGTGAATGAGTTACTTCGTCCTGATGGGCAGGTGGCACCTTGCATGGTAGCCCCTGTTTTCAGTGTGTAAATGGGTGAATGACATGTAGTGTTAAAGCCCTTTGAGTGGTCAGAAGACTAGAATAGCGCTATACAAGTGCAGTCCATTTACCATTTACGTCCGTCCCGTTCTTGTGAACGCGATATCTCAAGACATTCTTCAAATCTTCTTGTAGAAAGTTTACTTTGTACCGTTTATATTTGACGGTACAAATATGAGGAATGAGGAATTCTCTATCTCCCCACCAGCACTGTATTCCTAGCACTGTAGGAAAGATAACAAAGTCCCCAAAAATTACTATTACAGTTAGAATAATGTATGAAAATCCATATGTTACCCAGAGACTCTCCTTCTTGTGTCTGGTGATACTGAGGACATGAGAACATGTTGGTGTTAATATCTAAATACAAACTGCAGTTCAATCACTGTAATGCTGGTAAATTGTTTTTGATATTGAAATGTGGACATTCAATCTTTCTAGTGCGTGCTCCCTAACGCTCCGCTTGTTTGTTAATGCAATGCTGTTCATATTTTACAAGGAATGTCTTTTTTTGCATTCACATATTTACAATACGATACATAAATATAATTAGTTGCTTGTTATCCCTCTAAACTGTTCAGCGATTGTCCCAAAAGTTATTTTTGAACTCATAAAAGTTGAGTATTCACCAAACACAAAGTAGTGGCATCTTTCAAGAACAGATTTTGACCCACATTTTTGTCTTGTGTCATGCAGTCAAGAAAATGAAAGTATAATTGTGTACTTTGTGTCTCCAGGAGCCCAGTCAGATAGCGAGCTGCCCTCTCATCATGTTAGTGAAGTGAGTTTAGACCGGGGCTACACGTCTGACTCAGAGATCTACACGGAGCACAGCAAGACCAGGATCCCTCGCTCCACAACAGATGTGGATGTAGCAAGCAGTGGATGGCTCGTGGTCAGCGCGCGCACGCACACACACACACACACACACACACACACACACACACACACACACACGCACACACTTACAAAATACCTGAATGATGAGCAGCGAGCCATGCTGTATATTGTACATGCACAGTCACTGAAACATCCTCAGTCACGTGTTTAGGATCACATTTTCTAACCTTCAAAATAAATGATATTTGTATATTCGTTTGATCAAACTCTGATGCATATTTGTGTGTCTGTGTTTTGTACTTTTGTCCAGGTTGGGAGAGATGACCTGGAGATGAGTAAGAGCCCTCAAGTGAACTCCAAAGCTCAGCTGAATCATCCCCTTGTGAACCAGTACAGTCTGACGCTGGGTCAGGACCTGGGCCAGCACGACACCAAGTCTCTCATCAAGTGTGTAGAGACGCTCTCGTTCATCGTCCGTGATGCCGCCCATGTCACCCCTGACAACTTTGAGCTGTGTGTCAGAGCCATACGAGTGTTTGTGGAGGCCAGCCTCAATGGAGGTGAGACATTTACAATTCCATAGGAGCTATTTTAAGAAATCTAGATATACTAGGAACTTCAAGGTGCAAGATCCAAAATTGGGGGTAATTCCCAATGCTTCTCAACATGTCGACGGCGAGCTGAAGGCAAACAGCTAACAGTGCTGACAGTGCAGAGTACGGCAGAAGTGCTATCAGAGCTTACAGTGTTTACCTGAGGGGGAACCAGAGGTTGGGTTCTACTCTTCTGCCGCTGTCAGTACGGTGTTATCAGCTGTAACCGCCGTGTGAGAGCAGTGCAGAGCGGCAGCTTTGAGCTAACCAGTGGGGCACGCTCACATGCACTAACATGCACTAAGAGGCTCGAGGCCGGACGGCTATGTCAGCAAAGAAAGAGAAGCTCTGATAACAGCAGAGCAGCACTAACAGACTTCATTCTCTGCTCAGGAAGTCATCCATAACGATGTACACTGACGATGTCACTTCTGAATGAACTTTCTACACAGGAGTAATGGCTCACTGGTCACATGTGCTATTCATGCTTAGCTGCGACCCAAAGCATCCCTTTACCTTTCAAGTTATTTTCCATCTCTGTGCATACACGTTTGATTAAGTAGAAATCAAGTAATAAAGGAGTATGCCAAGCAAATACTACACAAATCCGTCAATCTCCCTCCAATTCCTAAAAATCTACTATTTTCTATATTTGCCATGGTTTGCCTGAGTTACTCCAGGATGGACGACTATTTGAGAAAAGACTGTTTTATGAATCAAATGTTCTAGCAGCGTGTAGAAACTTTTGATTCAAACTACAGCAGCAACCCTGTGCCTTTAGTCTGCCCGACATTCTTTTCCTCTCTCTGTGCTTTAACCTCCTTCTCATCTGCCCCCAAAACCTCTTCCTCCTATTTTTCCATTCATCCCTCCCTCCTGCTGTGTGTGATCTACACAATGACAGGGGTTAAGCTGGAGATATGGTAGTGGTGCACCTATTCATTTCCTGCTACAGCAGTGCTTCAGGCCATTGGAAACATGCCGTCAACAGAGCTTTACACAGACGAACAAAAGCGATGGGTCGATCAAAGCACTGGGCTGAGGCACGGCGCTAATCTCTTTGAGATACTGATAGAAAGTGCAGAACCTGCCATTACTCGATTGAGTGTTTGTGGTCTGACTTCATATTGTTTTGTTGAAGGTAGTTTCAAGATAAATGGGAAGTTTTTGAAATGGCCTAGAGCTGTGTGGTTGTTTTAAGGATCGGGCCATCATGGATGTGATTAGTTCATGACGAGCTCTTTAGGCTTCATAATGGCCGTACCACATAACAGAGGGGCGTGGCCACCGGATGCCAGTAAAAGCTGGGTGTAGTGAACTCCCACTATTTCCACCTTTTCCTCGGAGAGAGCTGTCATAATTCACTCTGTTACTGGAGGTTTTCATCTGGGGAGGTGGGTCTCCCTCTCTTCACTTGAACTGAGTTTATTCCTCCGCTCCGGGGACAGACGTGGCTCATGAACATGGTACATCAGGAACACCTGGAGGGTATTTCCTCACATTTGGCACAGACCTCCCTCTGGTCTACATGAATTGATGCGATTTTGGTTGTCAAAGGTCACTGTGACCCCACAAAACATGATTTTGGCCATTATTCACAAATTCAAATGCCTATTATGACAATTTCACACAAACGTCTAATAGCATAAAATGAGGAAGTGATGACATTTTGCACAGACACAATGTAAGCTGTAACTTCACTGGTTAGCGGAGGGAGACATACAACCGCAAAGCTGTGATTTTAGTTTTCTGTTTGAATAATTTGCTTCCTCAGGTTACCGCAACCATGACAAGAAGAAGAGCCACAAGTACGACTCCTCCAAGTCCCGGATGAGAAAGAAGGCAGGGGGAAGGGATAAGGAGGGCGGAGGTGGAACGAGGCGAGGTGGCAACCGGGCGTCCAATCAGCGTCCATCACGTTCCCACAGTGACGAGGAGGAGGACGAGGGTGTCCCTGCCAGCTACCACACGGTGTCATTACAGGTTAGTCAGGACGTAAGTACAACAGCACTCTTTACACTTCCACCTTATTCTGATTTGAGCCCAGCATCTCGTTTCACCCAAACATGGTCATATTCAGTGTAGGTGAGCATTTGAGTCCATGCAGCACTAAAATGATTCGTTTAAAGTCACTTAGCCCCTCCCCCCGTGTTGCATAGTGAAGCTTTCCTTACAGCTGTCATGTGGAACAAAGTAGCTGTAACTATATATAGTTACAGCTATAACATTTAATGTCTATAATATACAGTATTGATACTGATTGTATCAAATAATTTAAAGAGACAGACGTATTAAGGACTTGTGTAATTGACTTCATGTGTTTTAAACCTCAAAATCCCAATATTTTAGTGCACACACCCTGTATTCACTTTCACTTGACATTTAGACTTCTACTAGATATAAAGCCGTACATCCTGGTATTAACACTGGTGTTGGTGTGTACAGCTGTTAGACCTGATGCACACTCTGCACACAAGGGCTGCCAGCATCTACAGCTCCTGGGCAGAGGAGCAGCGCCACCTGGAGGCTGCAGGAAGGAAGATCGAGGCCGACTCCCAGACCCTGTGGACCAGCTGCTGGTGCCCGCTGCTGCAAGGTAGGCATGTTTGCAGATTTGTTTAGTAAGTTCATATTTTAGTTAAAACTCAGTGTATTCATCTTCCATAGAGAAATAGTCTATGCATTTGACAAAAAGCCATCAACTTATGGATTCTTGGGTGATCTTGAGAAGACACATTTTATTGTTGGAGTATTGACTTTGATCTGTGTGGAAAACTGTTTTTTGATAAATATTGTAAATGTTAATTTTATTTATGGTCATTTTTTTTGTTTACTAAGAGTGTGATTGTAACACTCCAAAGTACTTGATATTTGTAGTAACAACAGAAAAAGAAGAACAAATAATAATCAGTGACCCACTTGAGGCCAGAGTGCAGGGTCTGTAAGGAGTGAGCCTCCTGCAGCAGGTTTTACTGAGCCTGTGATCCAACAGCTGTCTGTAAAGAGACAGTGAGGCAGGAAACAGTGAGGCAGGGATTTTCATGCAAGCCTGAACTTTTATGCAAACCTGAAGCTTACATTTGAGCTCTCACTGGGTTGATGTTTGTGACTATGTAAACATAGTTAATAATTTCAAATCAAAATTTCTATTTTCACCAGTTCCACATTTTGTCTGACTGTTAAAATACACAAATAAAGTTGGTCAATGTAGATTTATATTATGGTAGTGCTGTTGTCATTATATCTCTCTTTCACACACCCCCCCCCACACACACACACACGCACACATATGAGCCATCACACAGTGTTTGTTCAAAAGCCAAAAAGCCCAAACAAAGCCATTTGTGGTCTATATTTAGCAGTCACACTTTACTTAATTTAAGTAGAATCCAGACAGTTGAAAGCTTTTATATAGAGAATACATGAGGATTATTTGCCTAAATTTGGATCTAGCAAAGAACACCAGTTTGTGTTTTTAGGCCACGCTTTCTGACAACATCGGAGCTCAATATGCTCATTCCACCTTCTAACAACACGGTGCAGCTTTCCACGGTGCCCTCTGTTTCATTACAAGAGATTCATTTGTACTCATCACTCTGTACCTCATGAAAAACAACAATAAGAACTACACGCTATCATTTTGGTTTATAAATGCTGTGTCAGTTTATCACATTCCTTCTCACATTTAAAACTTAAAATCAGAGCAGAGCCCAGGGGGCTATTTCACAAAAGCAGAATTAAGAAATCCCGGCTAAAAGAAAAGGCCAGACTTGACCTGGTACAGTCGATGCATTCTGGATGAGGAGGTGTAACAAGGTAAAGCCAGGTGTAAGTAATCCAAATATATGCACTTTCACAGCTTGTTGCAGCAGACCACGAGGTCGATAACAGATTTACTGACGCTAAAATGGAGAAAAGGCGTTCCACATACTTAACACCCAGTGAGCAACAGCTACTAATGGAAGTTTACTGAGAAGCAAAGCATATAAAAGGAAAAAAAGTTATCGCGGCCAATGTTTTAAAACAGCGAGAAAAAGCGTGGCAACAAAAGCAGACTCACTGAATGCAAAAGCCTAAAAATATACATTTACTAACCACAATTAACTGTACTTTGATATTTGCCCAAATGAACAGTTGTACACTTTGCCTTTTAAAGTGAGAAGTGGTTGCTCAGGAAATTCACCATGAAGATTACAAACAAAAATCCAAAGAATTAACGGTAGATCGGGACCAGATTACTGATGTGATCATAATAAATCACTAATAAACTGAATGTTATTTTTTGTATTGTTGATTGTTTTGCTTCAAGGGAAACATACAGCATGCACAACAATGTAGGCTGGTACAGTCACTGAAATATGGCTAAAAAGGCATTTTTGGTAACTTTCCCTTTACACAATTGGTTAGGATTTTCTCTCTCATTTAGAACATACTGGGGACACACAATCCATTAGTGTGAGGTTGACCCACCTTTTGAGGTGATGTGCCTGGTATAGAATGAACAGTACACTATGCTAGTTATTAGTCCAGTGAGCGGGGCCTTTGCAACTTTATCAGCCATTTTTAATCGTTATCTCAACAAGTGCAATAGCATATTCATCAAACGCTGTCACAATAAGCAGGAGGAGGACCGTCTAATGCGTCCGCTAAAGAGTACCTTCGTGACCTTTTTAATGTGAACTCTTTGCATTTGTACTTTTGAAGCTGTAATGTATTGTGGATAAAATAGCAAAAATCAAATCATAATTTATCAATAATAATAACAGAATAATGCAGGGTCACTAGTAGTACAGTTCAAGTGTATGATAAAACTAACGATATGAAAACACGACTCTTGAATACATTTCTATTTTTTACACAAGGCCTTAACATTGTGCCTGTTTGAAATGAGGTTAAAACATATCTTTCAGAATATGCATATACATAAACCATCTTCATGATGAACTGCGTTCTGGTGTTTAACAGCAAATAAACGAAGTGGAGTTGGCTGAATCCTGCTCCACACATCACATGAAACGTATCACTTCATATTTTAGCCAGAGACCTCTTCAATCAGAGGTCAGACCTTTCAAACTCACACCTGACGATTGAGACACCACCGCTGGCCGTAACTAGATACAGATATTTCTGAGTTCAAAAACATACGAGATATTGATGTATCAGCAGATACTCATTTCTTAACACACACACATTAAGCAAAAACATGTTTTGAAAGTTATTCCTTCAAATTATTTTTGTTGAAAGAAGTGTGACCAATATATGTACTGAGCAAGATATCCTCTAATTGGATCTCTTTCATCAACTTCAGTGTGTTGTGACCTACAAGCTCTTTACCAGGTTTTAGACCATTTGTGAAACCAGGGGGTCATGTTGTTTAGAGGCTCAAACATGTACAGTAAGATGTTAATATACTTGACTTTGTTCTTGCCTGTAACACCTCCGCGCACCATAAATGTGTACAGTATGCTTGTAGCTGGTTCTGAGGAGATCAAGAGGGATTGATGAGAGGTGGAGGATAACTCATGTCTGTCGTATGGTTGTCCACTCCAGGCATTGCTTGGCTGTGCTGTGATGCCAGACGTCAGGTCCGTATGCAGGCCCTCACCTACCTCCAGAGGGCGCTGCTGGTCCATGATCTGCAGACACTGGATGCAACCGAGTGGGAGTCCTGCTTCAATAAGGTCAGAAAGAAGGAGAGCTACATGTCTGCTGCTCTCAAATCCTCTATCTGCTCTTCTGTTAAACAGAGCAGGTCGATCAAAATGTGCTGATGAAGTTGGATTTTATAAACTAACTCCTTTATCTGCAGTCCCGTTCCTCACTCGGTCCGGTTGTACTTCCTGATGTAGTGTGTGTGTGTGTGTGTGTGTGTGTGTGTGTGTGTGTGTGTGTGTGCGTGCGTGCGTGCAGGTGCTTTTCCCGTTGCTGACTAAGCTGCTTGACAATATAAGCCCAGCAGATGTGGGCGGTATGGAGGAGACCAGAATGAGAGCCTGCACCCTCCTGTCAAAGGTTTAAACAATACACACTGCAGCACGCACACAACAACAACCAGCACATGTTCCCACAGGAGCAGAGCATTCACACCAGCTGTCACATATTTCACCACACACACGCATGTACGTGTTCAGCTTGTGTTACCCTTCTTCTACGAGCTCCGTGCTGTTTTTGTATTTCCTTGTTTATGGTGAAGACTTGTTTTATTAAAAGATGTTCAACTTACAGTGTGATTGCATTATCAATGACACATCAAGATTTCCATTTCAGTATAAGGGAATAGACACAAAAGAGAGGAATGGAGAAATAATAAACATGAGCAAATACACGCAAATGTATTTGTAAGAAAGGGTTCATTAATTAGTGTTAATTAACATGAGGATGATACATCGACTTATATACATACATATGTACATGTAACAGGAGATAATACCATATACACATTACTGATACAATAACCTGTTGTAGTGGTACTGAAGGGGAACACTAATTATATTATGATAATAATAAAAAGTGTGTGTGTGTGTGTGTGTGTGTGTGTGAGTGTGAGTGAGTACTTAATTTTGGCCAACATGTGATTGGCATGAAGTTAAGGATACAACAAATAAGATGGAAACAAGAGGAAGATCTTTATTTAATCTGGAGAGATTGAACTTGCTCATCAGGAGCAAGTTCAATCTCAATGATGTGGAGAACATGCAGCACATGAGCTCTGTCTCCCGGCAGCAGCTGTGGACTGATCATGTGTGCTTGTTTTCCGTTGGTCCAGGTTTTCCTCCAGCACCTCTCTCCTCTGCTGTCCCTGCCCACCTTTGCTGCCCTCTGGCTCACCATTCTGGATTTCATGGACAAGTACATGCACGCAGGCTCCAGTGACCTGCTGGTGAGAATAGTCTTACTACTAACATACAGTACTGTAATGTGATTGTAGCTGATATATCACGCTGATAGCTGATGCCTTCATTCACCTGTGGATACGGTCTCTGTTCTCTCCTCTGATGGGCTGCCTCTGGTTTTGGTTGTGTAGTTGGAGGCCATCCCTGAGTCCCTGAAGAACATGCTGCTGGTGATGGACACAGCAGGGATCTTCCACAGCGCTGACTCCAGGACAGGATACTCAGACCTGTGGGAAATAACCTGGGAACGAATTGTGTGCTTTCTGCCTCACCTGAGGGAGGAGCTCTTCAAGCAGACCGTCATACAAGGTACTCAGCAGATATGCAGGGATGTAGAGGGTGAACAGCCCGATGCAATGCCTCCACAACATTTGCATAATAGTTTGTTGTGGTACCAGGAACTTGATAGTGTTTCTCGTGAATCATCTTTGTTTTAGATCCAGTGCCCAGTCCTCCAGCAGAGCCCGTGCAGCCGACACCCTCGGCAGGCCGGCCTTCATCCCCTCAAGTGTCTCCGCCAGCTGCTCAGCCAACCTCCCCAGTCCCAGTTAACCCTGCAGAGACACGGACCCCCAGCAGGCCAGCATCACCCCAGGAGCGCCAACCAGCCGGTGTCAACGGTAAAACACTGACGATTCCCAGCAGTCACATCTCACCACATGCTCTGTGATCACCACGGCTTCTATGCACATCTATTCAAAGAGATAACTTTGGCGGTGTGATAAATATGAGCCCAGATCTAATAGTAACCCAGCTTTGCAGTGAGGGAACACTCATTTCTCCTCTGTGTTTTCTAGGATCGGCCCGCTCGTCTCCGGTGCCACCCTTGATTCCCCCCGTGCCATTAACAACGTCCCCTGCCCAGGCCCCCTCACCCTTGAGCCAGTCCCCCCTCATCCTGCAGCCTCTCGACTCCCCCCTGCAGGTGGGAGTCCCGCCCATGTCCCTGCCAATCATCCTGAACCCCGCCCTCATCGAGGCCACGTCCCCTGTACCACTGCTTCCTGGTCCCAGGCCTACGAGCCCTTCTGAGTAAGAGAGCCCCCCCCCCCCCCACACTCTGTCCTCTTTCCAGCCCTCCCCCCCTTAAACTACTGGATCCCACGGACTTCAACTACAGCTTCAAGAGCTTGTCACAAGGTTCTTTAAACGATGTAACATGTGCGAGAAGACAAAATAGATGTGCCACCTCAATTATACCACATTTTATTCAAAGGAGAAGAGACGTGAGGTTTTCTTTTGCACGTTGTTTTATTCCTGTATGTCCAGATATCCGGGAACAGGAAATGCAGGATAGAGTCATACTATGAAAAGTATTAAAAGTAAAAGTGTGATTGAGGTTAAGTGGGTTGACCGTACCTGTCGATAACAACCATGGTAGCTACCATGAGAGGGCTGACTGTGTGCTGCACACATGGCCAGCATTTTATCGGCTGATTCCAGTCTTTTAAACTCGATGCATCATATATATTTTAGACCAATACAATAAAATACAAAGTCTGATTCTGTTTTCCCACCACAGCTTTATTCTTGGGAATGTAAGGCAGCCGTCAGTTCTTTTAAAATCTCATGAAAAGACCCAACGCTAACAGTTAGTACGGCACTCCATGAATCCACATGTGGTGCTCTAGTGAGTGTTTGAATGTGGATCCAAATACACTGCAGTGTGTGTGTTGATGGTGATGAAGGACCATCCAGAGCAGCAGTTGGCTCATTGATGAAGAACACGTATGAGGCTGTGGCGCACTCACTAGACTTGTTAGGAAGTGTCAGCGGGGCTCTGCTGGTAGGAACACAGATATAAACTACCACCACCACTGGGGGACATGGTCTCAGGACGTCTACAGGTCTGTTCAGGCTACAGCCCTGGTGTCCATGTGTGGGAATATTCCTGATCTGATCACCATCGGGTTCATGTATTTAGGATAAACGTTGATTAAATGTGTGGAATAAAGGATCGGTATATCCAAACTGGGGTTTAGTCTAGAGGTAGCACCGTCACTCCCATGTTTTCTCATTACCCCCTCCCCCTCTCTTGCATAGCTGCGAACTTAATAAGACCAGGCTGACCTCATGGCTTTGCTCACACACCTGTGCTTCATATTCATTTGGAGATTTCCAGCGGGGACAGTCAGTGAGTTATTGTGGTTGGAGGTACTGCATGTTGTTGATTAAATGAGATTCCCAGAGCTGTTGTATCACCACTGTTTGATCAGCGTCTGATTGAACACTGTACAGAAAAGGACTTTATTTATTTACCGATCACTTTGTGCCTCACAGAGGCTACAGACGGAGACACTGGCCCGCTCTCTTTCTTTCTTTTCAACTCTGCATGAGCTCTTTGCCCCCAACGACTAAACACCAGCCGTGATTCCTCTCCCACCCAACAGAGAGGGGCTGTGTTGTGTGCACATGATGGACGGAGATGTCACATCTACCACATTCCAAAATGGAGATACTTGAGCGTGCAGTGAGCTCAGTCCACTGCATGGAGCAGAGCGAGGGATCCATGTAGACTTTAGTGTTTCATGATAAGTCGAACACATAATGAAAGAGTTCCGTATTGATGCCATTTGATCATGTTTGTGTAGCTGCAACAGTGCACACATGAGTCCCCCAGGGCCTTCATGTAGACTCGTACCACACGGAGGTCATAATGATGACGGCAGTAACTGAACCTCTTCTGCTTACATGTAATCATTACTGAACATTTACTGAAATTATAACATTTAAATAGTTTTACTTTGAAAATCAGCCATCTCCATAGATTTAATTTTGTCTGCAGGTTATTTCAGTTCAGTAAGTTTCATCTGTCATGGGGCCAAAGGCTACATATCACATCACACACATAGGACAACATTATACAATCCACCTTTTGTAAATACTGAAATATATAAAGTGCATAATAACAGAGTTAACTAATTCAGATAGAAAATTAAAGAACATATCATTATTTTGCACAAATTGAATCTAGAGACTCATGTTGAAATTCCAAATGAGAGAATTGAGACGGGAACATCTGGTCTGCCAAGATTAGACGGATCAGATGACATGGTGTGAAGTGACTTACCTGAGGTCTGCTCCGCCTCCTTCAGGGTCATTGTCTGTTCACGACGTCTGATTCAGACAAACTCTTTATTTGGATGTGAAAGCTGTCAGTGGAGCTCTGGTGCAGAGGGTTAGTGCTGTTGACCACAGCTGAGATCTCTGTGTTGTGTGTCATATCATTTGGTAACCATGGAAACACATATGCTCATTAGCATGCGAGTACAGGGATTTTACCAGATCAGCATAAAAGTTAAAACGATGTTTTAGCAGTGACCACAGTAACTGTTCCCTTGTTTATTTATGACTTATGACATTTGTGATTATGATTCCATGACCTGACTTCATCTGAGTTTGTCTGATAACATTTGAGCACCTTGAACACAAGTGGCACCACTTTGACCGGCCTTCTGACCACAGTGGCATTTAGAGCCCGTGAGTTCAGATAGTTTTAGGAACATGTTGAAGTGCTGTCGTTTCCTTCGTATGTATTCAGTCTGCTCCCATAGAAAGCGGCTGCCGCTGTCGCATGCTGATTGTGCCTTGTGTGCAATGACATGGAGCCTGACCGGCTGATGGAGACTAATTCACCATTTTAATGCCAAATGACGTAGAGTAGAGTAAGGTGTAGACGTGGACAGCTTAGCATCCGCTCAGCGTGGCCCTGGGATCCTCTCGGTGATGTGACATGTTATTTATTGAGTTGTGAAAGAAGAGGACTTCTCCACTGCAGTACAGCTGTTGGGTGACACTACAGCCTCATAGAGCCGCCAACAGGAGATGTTTTGTAAGCTGTGTTTATTTGTTGGAGGGGACTCTTATCAGGTGTGGAGTCTTGCTTGAACAGGAAATTACATGAATATAATGTGTATATATAAATGAAAGGTAATGTACTTTTTACTATGTAATAAATATAATGTAAAGAAAGTGCTCATTGTGTTGTTTGTGTTGTTTGATCACGTGGATCACAAAGACTCCTTAAGACACTAAAAGTCCAAGAGAGCAACTTTACACCGATGAGAGAAGAGGTATGATATGAATTATTATTTACTAGCTGAATAGTTTCAAGATCTCTGGCAATTTCTGAACATTGTCAACTTGTCTCTTCTGACGGCTTTACGACTGCTGTGGTTAAACCCTTCCTTCAATAACCAGACCGTGATAACTATCCAGTCTTTAACCCTCGGTTATTTTCAAAAGTACCAGAAAAAGTCGTGTCTCAACAACTCTCACACCATCTCCTAAAAAGTCTGCGTTCAGAGCTCGTCACTCCACCGACAATGTGCTGACTAAAGTAAATGATCAACTGATCTCAGGGCAGCTGTTGACACTATTGATCACTGTATACTTATTGGCCTGGCTCTTGAGTGGTTATAACCTATCCTTTTCTTTCTTGTTCCCTTTAATAAAATGACGTCAATATTTTCTCATAATAATATTGGGCCTCTGCTCTTCTCTCTATAGATCACCTCTTGGCCAAATAATTAATTTATTAAATGTATCCAATTAGAGACCTGCTTGTCTGCTGTGAAAAGATGGATGTCGAATAATTTCTTGCTCTTAAAATCTGATGAATCTGCGATGCTGGTCTTTGGCTCTGCTCCACATACACACCAGTGTGATCCCAACGTCAGACAGACGAGTGGTGTTACGTTTGATTCAACCCTCTCTTTTCACCAGCACACCAAATCTTTCACCTTTGCATCACAGATCAGGTCGGCTTTGTATCATCCAGACTGGATTATTGTCAGGTCTTGTTTTCAGGTCTGCCTCGTTGCGGTTGGAATCTGAACTAAAACCATGTGAGATGCATCTTTGAGGTGCTTCTGATGACTTACAAAGTTGTCATTGGACACGCCCCTTCCTACCTGATCTCCTTAACCCTCATATTACCGTCAGAATTCTCTGCTCTCAAAATACAGCCGGTTTCACTCTGGGGACAAAGAGCCTTTTCCCATCATGCCCCCTTTTATGGCATTACCTCCCTCCGGACATCAGACTGATTCTGTTGATGCCTTTCAATCCAAAATCCAAACTCGTCTTTTTGCTTTGTTATTGTGTCACGTGATGAGTTGGAGAGGAGAACCGGGGTTGACACAGGTTGTTGTGTTGGAGTTCAGAAAGTGAAGCCCAGTGTTCTCTCAAAGGTTTGCAAAGTCGTGCGTGTGTGTGTGTTCACACAGAGAGGCTTCTGGGGGTGTAGTTCTTCTAGACTTTCTAATAAATACTTCAACACTTTTACAACTAAACGCGACTTTCTGGACTTTTTTAAAGTAACAAACATCAAATGGTGATTTGCAGAGTCCAGTGTGGAGAAGTCAAAGTACTGAGAGACACATTGTTGGTTAGAGTCTGCACATGTCTGTTGAATGGAAGTGGAGAACTACTTTGTGAAATGTAACATTCTGAAAACAACAGCCGATCTCTGGTGTAAAACATCTGAGGTTTTATTTCAAAGCAGAATGAGAACCACAGTTTTTTTAGTAAACTAAGTGTATCAGAAACTACAGAGGCCAGCAAAACGGTTCTATTTGTACATGGAATGTAAAAACATCATTGAAACGAGGGACCATAATGTCAAACTGTACGGATTCAAAGGACCTAATCTATAAAGAACACAATCTCATGAGGGGACAGTGGGACATAAATGTAACAGCACTCCACTCACACAGATTTTTTTTTTTCCCTCTTTAACCAACACAGATTCTACCCCAACCCCCCCCCCCCCCCCCACACACACACACACTCACACTCACACTCTCTGTCTCATCAACTATCTACACCATCTGCAACAAACAACAGTTAAAAAACAACCCCTTTAAGCAGGATCCTCACTTGGCGTCCAGCTTGGCCATTTCCTGAAGGTATACTCCGATGCTCTCACTGTCGAACAGAACAAAGTAAATGTTTTTCAGGGAGGAGCTGCTGGACGACACAAAATGGTTGGAGATGGCCTTGAGGATGAGCTGGGCGGCCGTTTGTTTGGGGAATCCGTTCCTGTGAGAAAGATTGAGGTGGTGAGATAAATCTCACTGCACCAAGAGTTCATGAGGAACACTTTAACAGTAGGGGCCGGTGAAGACTGATGTATAGCATCTGAAGCTAAGACTAAGAGCATCAGACCATAGTGCTGAGACATGTCATCGTAAACAGATTTATAAGACTGACACTACTGCTGATACAGATAAAATGACAATTACAACCAACAAAATATGACACTGTTAAGTCTGTTTATGTCATCCTGACAATCAGACTAATCATCTCCATATTAGACATTCAGTTTGGAAGGGTAACCAGCAGTGCAGTGAGAGGCTGAGGCTGAGTCGGACTGACAGGAAATATAACCAGAGCCTATATTAGTATTATTAGACGACACAGCAGATTCTAAAAGCTTTTACGAACCAATCGTGACAAACAAACAACACGGAAATACTGGCCTGCGAATATTATACGTCTCGGGCTTTTATTGTGAAAGGTATGAACAGAAGAAGTGGATCTGGTCTGCAATGCCTTTATTTGGGAAATGAAAGCTGCGGAAATATATTGAAAATATATATTAAATATAATTGCTTTCAAGCGATTAATTTGCTGGCAACATAGGACTGTTTTAGTCTCACACAACGTGGATAAAAAGACAAAAACAGCAACATTGCTTTTTAGCCCCCCCGCTGTTGGTCTGAACACGGCCTTAACCCCAGCAGACAGTACAGACATCAAAATAAATGATTGTGTGCTCAAAACACAGCAACGGTACACAACCCTTTTTCAGACCTGGAGTTATGCAACACTGGTGCTTTCATCGATCTGTTAAAGTGATGCTTTTTAGTCTTCAGTCTGGTTAATGGGAGTGTTTACATCTGTAACAAGGCGTTCCACATGTGGGCCTCCTGTGTCCCTGCTGGACCACCGTGCAGAGTAGCAACGTTGTGTTTATTAATGACCATCGATCACCACCACTTCTTCCAGTGCATCCACAGAGAGTCCATTTCATCGTTTATCAGAGAGTACTCGTTCTGGGTTGTAAAGCAGAGAATGATGATGCTTTAAGTTGGGGCTCTGGTTTTGCTGGATATTCATTTATTCATCAACAACATGAGAATAAATATAATCATTTTCTGATCGAGAAGAATCGGAAACATTTTCTCTGTACATAAGAGATGATGATTTAGAGATCATTTGACCTGCTGCTGCGGTCGTAACATTAAGCCGACTGCCTTTCTCTTCAGAGTTGGGAGATGATACTGTCCTCATTAACAACACACCTTTGTTTCAGTGCATGGACACTAAGCAGTCAAACAGCCTGAATGAGACCTTCATGTGTATAAGCTCTGGTGACCTGCGTGTCAGCTCACAGTGGATTAATAGATTAGTTTGAAGTGTGTCAGAGTAGAGCTCACCGTCCAGCAGGAAGTGCAGGGAAAGCCACGGACTTGAGCTTCTTGTCCTCTGCCGCCGAGAGGCAGTTCTTCACCGTCTTCTCCAGCTGGTCCTCACACTTCTCTGAACCCCACTGAGGGACGTTACAGTGGATGATGAAGCGTGCTGCCATCCCACTGGCCTGGCTCACTGCCACTGCAAAGACACAGACGCTGAGCTCGACAGTTCAACCCTTAGACTCCCTGTTTAATTCATTCATTCGGGCCCCTTGTATTCCTCAAACTATTTGTTTTTTTATAATTCGGTGGTGTCGTAGTTGTTGAAAACGATTTTTGAAAATGATTGCTCGTGAGCTCCGATCACACTAAGCAGCGCTGATCAAAGGAATCAAAATGTCTGACCCGGGATCGAACCGCCAATCTTCTGATTGAGGTACAACCCGCACTCACTTCTGAGCCACAGTCACGAGTTTTTGTTGATTTCTGGCATCAGGACTCTGCTGAGTGAAAACCCTCTACAAAGGTGTTCTTAAGAGAGGCCCAAACTTAATGGACACTATCAGAATGCTGTAGCATGAACAGCGTTGGACTCATTACTTTTAAGTCTTCAAAGGTTCAAAGAGGAACCAAACCAGATCTATGTGAAGGCTGTTGGTCCTTCAAGGTTGAAGAAAGATGGAAGTACTGGACGGTAGCAGAGGGATGGGTGAGCACATGTCTACAGCTCTCCATTAAAAACAGGCTGAAACAGAATCGCAAACAGCACCACTCATACAGTTTGTTCCATGTGTGAAGATTCTGTACCTGATGCCACCTCCAAAGGCCCCTGTGCTTTCCGCAGCTCCTTGACCGCCTCCAGGAACTCCCGGCCTCCGGCCTTCTCCAGGGCATTGCCTGAAAATGTCACAGCAGCAGGTGAACACAAGAGGCTGGGTAGAGGGAAGCGTGGAGACTTGTGGAGAAGAAATAGAGTACACATGAACATGTCCTCCTCACCCACTCCGTCTTTGAGGTCCATCTCCGAATTTGTCGGGTTAATTATACCCTCCACTTTAATTGTTCCAATTTTGCTGATTTCACTCTCCGTTAGTGAAAGCTGTGGATTCACAAGGTTGTCAACACAGAGAGGAAACAGCTGCTGTAGTTCTCTAACTTAGTCTATGTAGAGTAGACCGATTGTCACCTAGAAGACCTTAACATGAATAAGTCCTAGTTGATCATTTTATTATCCATCAGCAGCTTCAGCTCATTAGATATCACATCATTACCTTTTGTCCAAGGAACAGGCTCTTTGCTGACAGGATGGTGAATCCATCTCCAGGACCGTCTTCCACTGTGGAGTTCGGTACAGACTCGTTGTCTGTGCTCTTTGCCAGATGAAAAGAATGGCACATTTAAACCAATTCAAACAGATAATACACAGATAATAAGACTGCTGAGTATCAAACCTCAGTACTTGTTGACAGTGTGGCATTTCTTGTTAAATGAATGAAGTAAAGGTTAAACACATTGTGCAAGATAGTTCATTCTTGGAAGCATTGACCAAATAATCTTAACTCAAGGTCCACTTACTCGCTCTTTCTGTAGCTTTCCGCCATATCTTATGGTTTTCTAAAGCAAATATATTCGACAGACAATCAAGTCAACTGCTCAACTCCACTGGATCACGGAGCTGCTCAGACTCGGTCTTGTGTTGGACTTCACTGAAGTGATTTTGACTAAAGCCCTTCCATGAGAAGTAGTTGAAAGCTCCACAAACAGCTGATAAGTGAACCGTAACTGGTTTTGTCAAACTTTACAGGTACTAAAAACAAGTACCAATGTTTTCCTGCTGTTTGATAGCAGTTTAAACAAGACAGGGACATGTCAGCGTGAGATGTGTTGCTTAGTCCACTGATGGTCTCTGTATGTTACCAACAAACTAGTTCACGACATGTTGCCCAACCACGTCTAAAGCCAAGCTGCTTCCTGTTCTGATGAAGTCAACAAATGGGGATGACAACGTCCTGCATATGTCCTCACCTCCACACACCTGGCCAATCGCTTTGCTTTATTTCATTATTTTGGGGATTTCAGCCTTTATTGGACTGTTGACAGTAAAGAGGCAGACAGGACAGAGAGGCAGAGAGAGAAGGGGTACGACAGGGAACCCGGTATGTGGCATGTGCTGTAACTAATCCGCTACCAAGGCACTCAGTTGGATTGTTTGTTTCAGAAAGCTAAATAAATGATTGCGCTGTTAGAGAGGTGGGTTCAGACAGCGCTCAACGATCTGAGAAGCATTTCACTTGAAGCACACTGAGGCCTGAATGTCCCCCATCTCCATTCTGTTGAGTCCACTGACCTTTGGCTTGCGTCCTCGTTTGCCTTTAACCTTTTTGAAGGACTTGATGGGTTTCTTGCTCTTCGAGCGTTCTACCTTCTTCTCGGGAATGGACGCCTGGCTGTCGACTTTCACCCTGACCCCCCTCTTCTTGGAGAGCAGCTCTGGGTGTATCCGAGGCAGGACGCCTCCATTTGAAATGGTCACCCCCCGCAGAAGCTGATGGAGGAAGTGTTCCCCAAACAAAGAGTTTGACTATGTACGGTACTTATTTATTCACACGAGTGTTGCTCTCTTTGAGAAACGGTGACCTGAGCTGAGGTTGAACAGTGTTGGGATCCTTCGCGCCTGCTGAAATATCAGCTGCTACACACATTATCTGCTGTCAGCTGACACCTTCACAACGCCTGTGCCTCAACTCCAGGGACAAGACTGTAGCCCACATTATCGTGAGAGGACAGTTTCTTGTTTCTCATTAACCATAATTACAATCATTATTCAAACCTTGATACCATTTGTTGTTGCTGCACCGTTCATGAAAAAGTTGTGTATGTCCTGTGCCTTTACTGCATATCATCAAACAAATCTGTAAACTACCTGCTCTGGTACTCTGTTCACTACCTGCTCTGGTACTCTGTTCACTACCTGCTCTGGTACTCTGTTCACTACCTGCTCTGGTACTCTGT